ATATTTAGAAACATAAATATAGTTATTTAAAGTTAACCCCTAATACCAAAGCTCATGTTACTCATGTTAAATTTGAAAATATAGCTAAGTGAGGACAAATAAAATTAAGTTTCTTTCTTTAAAAAGGAATTTTTCTTTCCCCCTCAAACTTAAATTTTTAAGAGATTTAGCATGAAGAACTGAAAAATAAAGTGTGAAAGAAAATATTAAATACATAAAGAAAAGACATACCTGTTGAGGGTTCTGATTTTGAAACTTTAATTCTGAAATACTGCAGGTGCTAATATAAAAAGCTACAAGAATTAAAACATTAAACTGCACATAATATATAAAAAATTTGCTGAGAAAGAGTTAATTACAATACATTTAACAAAATACTAAAATTAACAACAAAACTAAACTGAATTCCAGAAATGAAAACAGTTTTACAAACTACAGTTCACAACTCAACATAATAACAAAACAAAGTCTCACAATCTAACAAATAGTCTCAATAATATAAAAAAAACACAGCACAATAATAAAGTACAATAAAAAATAAACTAAAAAAAAATCAAATCACCAATCATCATCATCATCTTATTCTACATCCAAATTCTACCGCTGATATGGAGTAAAAATAGGGTGAGTAGGAAACTGAACTGAATGATCACCCTTCATGTATCTCACCAACGCATCATCATAAGAAGCATTATATTCAAACTTTTGTTGATCAAATCATCAGTGTGAGCATTTCTGACATCCATGTTTTGCAACCTATGATCCATTCTTAAGATCTCCCTGTTGGATCATCTTCTGGTTTAAAAGTTCTCGAAGAGTAGGGTCACTAGAAGTAGGGGTCCTCGAAGTAGAAGGAATATCTATGATCTTACTTCCAGATCTCCAATCAATATGAGATTCATATGTATTAATATTGGTGAGGCCAATAGGTCTTAGAGGCTCAATCCTCTCTTCCACCGGTCTAAAATTAACTCCTGTCTTTTCACAGAGTGTAAAAATAAGTGTAGGGTGTTCTAAACCACCAGTGGTCTCTCCCAAAGAAATAGATCTAGTGTTCATATAGATAATAAAGCCTACATTTATCCTCATCACCTGCTGAATACAGAAGTTCAGGATGGCTCTATGCTTAGTCACCTCACTATGATGATTTGTCGGAATCATTCTTCCAGAAATAAAGTAGTGTCAGGCCTTATATACTACATTAAGCATAGAAAGAGGAAAGTTTACCTTAACACCATTTTTGACTTTCTAGGTCCCTCATTCATCAATAAGAATAGAAATAACTTCATCTAAGGCCTCATTAGTAGCAGAAAAAACTTTATACTGGCAACTGTAAGCATCTTCCAACTTATAAAACTCATTAATTTTTCTTGGAGAAAACTCAACCATTTTCCCACGAACAAAAATAAAGTCATCAGAAGCTTCAATAAATCAGAAGCTTCAATAAAGTTTTCAATAAAGTTGGCATAGAATTCCATCAATACATCAATAATCGCATGAGTAGTAAAATAACAGAAAACTTCCCACTGTTGAGCATTGATTAATCGCTCGACTTCTCCTCCCAAATTTCTAAAACTACGATACGTAATTACTTTTTTATGCTCAAGTAGACTATTGAAATGAGCACTAGCCCTGAATTAGACTATTGAAATGAGCACTAGCCCTGAAGCTAACAAATTTTTTGTTCATCATAATCTAATTTTCTTTTTTCCTTTGCTTGTTATTGGTGCCATGGGAAATCTAGAGAAAAATTAAAAAAATTTGAATAAATTCCAAAAATTTCAAAAATCACAAAGTAAAGCGCTTTATACTTAAATATACTAAGTAAGAGTTCTTCACTAAAGGATTTTCTAAACATATCTCAAAAAATTTCAAAATTTTTGGATCTCGGCAATGTGAGATAAGTCTTTGGTGAAAATCAAAATTTTTTAGTTCAAAGTGTAGCTCTTACCTAGAGAAGATGAAATCCAAAGTTCCTTTGCCTTAAAATCGCCTTAAATCCAAGTAAATGCGAGCCCTAGGTGCAATAATCTGATGTTGAAGGTGACTTAAAGGGTAAAAAGGGCGGTTTATAGTGAAAATCACAAATTTTAAAGGGTAAAGGTTGTTCTCGGGTCGAGGGCGTCGTCGACGCTGAAAGCCTAAAAATTCATTTTTTCAATTTTTTCAATTTTAATTTCCTTTCATTTTTCTCCAAAGTCTTTTTAGTATTTCAAAACACAAATTTTTATCTAACAATAATTCACAAACAAACATTTTCACAAACAATCATTTTCACAAACAACAACTAACTAACTAACTTTTATATATGAAAATACACTTTTACCAACACATTTTTCTAATTACACTTTAACACATACTAAAATAACTAAATTATAAATCAATGTTTAAATCAAGCACAACACTAAACATTGACACAAAACTATACACACAATTAAAGTTCAAAATTCTAAAGCAAATCAAGCTAAATCAAATCCACACAATCACATTAAGTACATAAGTATTTTAAACAAGTTGAAAGAGTCCAAATTCTTCAATTATTCCGCCTCATCTTCAGTACTTTCTCCTCCTTTAATATCTCTCATAGACTGGTAATGGACATACAAAATGTATACAGATTGTATAAGGGTTGGTACAGAAATTGATCGGTTGAATCTTCTTTGATCCATCCTTTTTCTTTAAACATCCGCACTAATCCTGCTTCAAATGTTCCAGTATGATCAAAATTCTCTTTCATCCTCCAATATAGGTGATCAAAAAGGTACTTAAGATATCTTATTGCATTCATAATACTCTGAAGTTCTCTTTCAATTTTCTTCAATTTCTTTTCTACATCAAGTGAACTTCCAACTGTTGGTGGCATCAATGGAGTTGAAGCATGTGATGAATTATCTAAGATAGTATCTAATGCTTCATTCCTATTCCTAACATAATTATCATCAATAGGAATCATGGGCTCCCAAGGTAATAAAACTTTTTCCCAACTTTCATATGGAACTTGATATTGACTGCAAAGTAGGAAAATTATGGAAGGATGCCCAAGTCCATAAATTGGCCTATTCATAATAATACCCATAACAAATTTAAATATGATAGATCCTATATCAATGAGTTTTTCCATTTGAATGCAATATATCAAAATAGAACTTTCTTTAGTAACTCTACTAATCTTCATGGTAAGGAGTAATTTTGCAGAAATGAAGAAATGCCACTGCTTTGATGTTGGATTAAGCAACGAAGCAGAGAAACTAACATATCCTTCATCTCACATTTCATAACTATCACTTTCGTCCGTCAAAAAATTATAGACATGTTACATCAAATCTCTGGTAGCGATGAAATTTGTATAATGACAGATTGGAACGTTTTCTATCATATACAACTCATTGATTCACGCAGGAGTAAATGGTACAACCTTACTTCATACGGAGGCAACTTCTTGGGTAATTTCATGTAAATTGGCATAGAATTCCTTCACTACTAGTACAACAACTTCAGCGATAGTGTAGCATAGAACTTCCCATCGCCTTTGTACAATGATTTTATCAATCGGAGAACTTGGATTAATCAATCCGTGATTGACAAAGTCTCTCTCCTTAATAAGCCTCTTCTTTGTAATAACTTTGTCGTATAATCTTTGCTCGTCAAAACTGATAAACTTTCTTCTATTGAAAACTCTATACCTGGAAGTATTTTTGAAATTGGAGGCCATGGAATTCAAAAATAGGAAGTTCCTGGTCATCCAAGGTAGTTTTTAGGACTTTAAAAACACCTCTCGGAGTTATTATGGAGAGAAATCCCACCAAAGTCCGCCAAAATCCGCCAAAACTGTCAAACTGCTATCAGCACCGTCGGCGCTTCCGACGGCACTGTCAGTGCTTTAGTCTGTCTGCGGGCACCATCAGCACCCATTCTGGCGCCGGCGGCGCAAGAGGCCAAATTCGCGTCTTTTCATGTTTTTAATCAATTTGATTCTAAATATTCCTCCAATACCAATATTTTTCTTAATAAAATTGTGTAGGATTATTATCTGCTAATATTTAAACACTTATGAAATAAAATAGGAATATATATATATATATATATATATATATATATATATATATATGTATATAGGTTCCCTACCATCTAAAGCGCTTGATTTAACGTATTCAGCCTGACATACCATTTGATTAGTTGGGTTGACTTAACATTAAAACTTCTTTAAATTGTGGTATGTGCCCTTCATAATAATGTTTCATTCGATGCC